TGATGAAGAGCAATGGAAACAGAATCACCCCTGCATTGACCTCGACAAATCAGTCCAAAAATTTGAGGAATTTCTGGCCAAAAGAAGTGTCAACCCATCGGACCTCACCAATCAAACCTTGGCTTGGGATCATGAAGGAATGGACACGACACGTCGGAAGCCACATGTCTCAGAAGGCGAGAGCGATGAAGAATATTTAGAGCTCCTGAAGGATTTAGATCCTTGTCAAGACTACAACGACAATTCTTTTGGAAAAAGAGTCAACGATTTTCTGAAAAACTACAACCAAAGTAGACAAAAGAAAAGAGAGGAAGAAGTAGAGCAACCTGTTGCCGAAGCAGATGTAACATCCCCTGGTCCTGAAGCAGCCACAGAAGTGTTCCCTTCTAGCCCAAATAGACCACCATCCAGAAGAAGTGTTGTGCGATTTAAAGAAATTCTTGAAGTCTTTGAAGACCCTGAGGAAGATGTATCCTTTTCAAAAAGTCCTTCAATCTCAACCCCAGGATTTCTGTCCGCTCCAGATGCACAGTCGACTCCATACACTTACCATCAAGAACGAGAAATCCCTGTTCTGGAAAAACCAACAAGAGAAAGAAAAGGAAACATTATGCCACGCCGATTACAATCGCGAAGTTCCAACAGTGAAAATACAGTGAAGTGCGCGGCACCAATGAGCCCCTTTCTGAACTTAAAAATCCCCTATTGTGACCCCCCGACTCCATCCTCGGCGTCTGAAACGTCCGATGATGAAAAATCCACAAGTAGAGGACAACAACTAACAAACATTGATAATAAATGGACAGAACCACTGACTTACAAACGAGACAATTATGCCCATTTTATCTCAGAAGACTGTGAGCCTATCGATTCCATTTCGAAACTGTTAATAGCAACGGAAAAGATAGACATGCAGGACATTCGAGACAGTAAACCCATAAAAGGACAAGTTCATCTTACTCTTTGTGGGAAATATAGGGTATATTCAATCGTAATTAAAAAGCGGTATTCGGACGAGCTAGATTGGAGGGATGTTACCGAAGGTTTGAAAAATTTAAAGTACGCCCTCACGCTGGACAATCAAAATCACTGCCGTATGGCAAATTCTGGAGACCTCTTAGGTTCTCTCCCACAAAACAAAATGGCGGAACTAGTAGCAGGAATATTCCGCGGTGGCGATATAAAAATCACCTTGTGCCACGGAAGAATCCAAGTTCCTCCTTTAGAATTGCGACCCAAAATAATATCGGAGTTTCACAGTAGCCTTATAGGAGGTCATAAAGGCATTACGAAAACGTACCGTAGAATACGCGAGCGATTCTACTGGCCGAGACTACGAGACGAAGTCACGGAGTTTATTCGGCAATGTAAAAGTTGTTTCGAGAATAAACTGGCTAGGGCTCGTACGAGGGAGCCTATGATCATAACGGACACGCCGGCTATGCCTTTCGACAAGGTGTCCTTAGATACTGTAGGAAAACTTAGAACCACCCCCAATGGGAATCGCCACATTCTCACAATGCAAGATAACTTTAGTAAGTATTGCATTGCCGTTCCCATCCCGGACATAAAAACCACCACCATCGCTCACGCAGTAGCGACAAACCTCTTTGCCACGTTTGGAGCACCCAGATGTGTACTCACAGACAGAGGCGGAAGCTTTGTAAGTTCCCTAATGCGGAAGCTTGAGGGTATATTTGGTGTCAAACAGCTTACAACTTCTGGCTATCGACCCCAAACCAATGGAGCTCTAGAAAGAAGCCACATTGAATTGACGGATTACATTAAACACTACGCAAGGGATTTCGACGATTGGGATCGTCTGCTCCCATTTGCAATGTTTAATTATAACACGTCGATTCACGAGGCGACTGATTTCACTCCATACGAGTTGGTTTTTGGTCATATAGCAAGAATCCCAAGTTCTTTTCCACATGGGCCAGAACTTGAAACCTATGGGTCATACTTGAGAGATCTTGTCACACGAATGACCGAGCTTCAAAATCTAGCAGCTGGAACTCTGAGAAAGGCAAAATGTCGTTCTAAAGAGTTCTATGATCGCAAAGCTCGACCTTCGAGTGTTAAGATCGGAGACCAGGTATATACTTACAAGGAGGTAAGAACAAACAAGTTTGACAACAGAGCAAGCGGCCCGTATACGGTGGTAGACATTACCCAGAGCAATAATGTTATTCTGGAAAACGAGAATGGCGATAGGTTCGCCAAACATAAAGATAAGGTAGTTCCAGTGGCAATCTGTGGATCCGACTCCTTTCCAAGGACTTCTGATGAGCAGCAGTTCCAAATTACCCCGTTGCCTGTTAGCAGTGGGATATATTACGAGTATCTTGGTACCGTAAGGAGATCCGTGACCAACTGGAGAGTGACCATCTTCCTGGACATAAGCCGGCAACATGGATACATCGACGACCTGAAGGCCCGATTGGAGAAATTGAAGAACCATTGCGCATCTGAAAAGAATTGGTGCCATGAATTTGTAGTCCATCACCCTTGGGAGGATAAATGGGAAATGGCTTCCGAACTGCAGGAGCAGTTCCAAACCCAAATCACCGAATTAGAAAACAACCGCAAACCAATGCCCAAGAAGATGACAGCTCAACTACGAATGAGGCGAAGCGTGCCTCTACTTGGATTCCTAGGAAAAATCGCTGGTCCCATCGCCGGTGTTTTAAATTACGAAGATGGAGAGAGATACGATGCCATCATTCAGGAATTGAATTCTGCATAAGCCAATCTGTCTCACCTGGTTGGACGTCAAACCCATGTTGTGAGATCTCAGCTCGACACACTCCATACCCAAATCGAAAAACATAGCTCCCTAATAAATAATATTAATCAAAACCTGGACCTGCTAATTAAAAATCAAGAAAATCTATCAGCAGTTAAAGTCGAGTTAGAAAAAAGGGATGCAATATTCAATCTACTGGGAGCATTGAAGACCAGGATTGGACCACAACATTCGAGTCACAAAAACCATGCTGGAAGCAGTCCATACGGCCAGACAAGGAAGACTACACCGTGGACTGATTTCATCTAAGCAGCTGGAGCCCATCCTACGCGACGTCCAGGATCATCTTACCGAAGTACAGTTTCCCTTACCTGGACCTGCAGTCAGCATCGATGAATTGATACCGATCTCCACCGTCATCATTTTATGTGTCAATCGTCAATTAAAAATCCTAGTTGATATCCCTCTACTGGAAAAATATAACTATCAGGCATTGAATATGCATCCCCTACCTGTTACGAACCGATAAAAATATTTTAAATAATTTGAATAATTGTTTATTATAAAAATTATTTTTGGGCTTTTGAGCTGGCCCTATTTTTATAGTTCGGCGGAGGAGACCAAACTGCCAGAGCGTAAACTCTGTTTATCTAATTGGGACACGTTATTCCTGGTTACTTTTAACATTCAGAATTTTAATTAGAGGAGGGGGGGGGGGTAAGGAAGATAAAGAAATTAATAGAGAGAAGATTAAGAATAATAATTATAAATTTATTATAATAAAAAAGAAAATAATTCCATCCACCTCTCATACAATTTAGGGGGGGATGAAATTTGATTAGTCCAGAACGATACAGTACTTACCGTTGCTGGATATTAAATCTACCGCCAGAACTTTCCGACGGGCGAAGATAATTCACCACACACTTACACGTGCACAACTTATTGTTTTTTTTTCTTAGTTTCCTAAACCACTAAAATAGGGCGGACGCGGCTACACCGTAAAACCGGCCGGTCATTTGACAAGAAAGAAAATTTTTAATTTATTTAAATAAAATCTCCCCCTTCACTATTTTAGCTTTAAGTGGCCCCGCGGATTTCGAGTTAAGAATTTTATTTTCGTCCGGCCAAATTGCTTGTATAAACATACAACCAATTTGGATCCTGTATACCGGACGGGAACGTTACGGATAATATTATTTTTATTCCGACAGAGATTGAGTCTCTGTGCCGTGGGAAACCGTACTGAACAATTTAGATGTCTAATTAATGTGCTTTTATAGTTTTACTTCCTTAAGAAATATTGAAAGGTGGGGACAGGGCGTTGGACCTGTTGCCATGCCAAAATTGCTGAACTTGCATTTTATGGAATCGGTTCATTGCACTATGTTGAAATAAATTCCTTTTCTTGTATTCTTAGAAAAGAATATATTTTAATATTCTTTTAATTATTGAAACAATTTTTAATTTGTTTATTTAATTTTTCAAATTAATCTCTTAAAATAGGATTAATGTAAGTTGGAAATAATGGACATTTCAAAAATAGAAATTCCATTCTATCTTGTAGCCCTTTAAAGGTTCTTACAAATCTAACATTAATTTATTTGTAATGCATTGGAACCTTCCGCAAGTTTGCAATTTATGGCGGGCAATGTTTATAAGCTAGGTTGATACAGGGAAGCAAAAAAAAAAGGATAAATTATAATTTATAAATAATTAAATAAAACCTAACCGTTCCCATCTATATAAATATCGTAAAGTTGTTAAATATATAAATATTTTAATTAAGACCGGGCCATCATTCACCCTATTTTCAAGATTTAGAAAATTAAAAGAATGCATTTAAAAGATGATTAAATTCGCCATTAGTGAGAGAGAGAAAGAACTACAGGACAGAAAGAGTACGCAATACTCTGTAAGAACAATATGTATGAGAGAGAACGTTTCAATGCTATACATAGTATTCCTTCTCTCTCGCACAAAGTCAAGGGGAGCGCGGGGAGCCTTCACTCAACGCGTTGAGTGAAGCCTCTCGTCCATTCTTCATATCCATATTATGTATATATATATATATATATATATATATACATACATATATATATTTAAATAAGTACAATATATATATATATATATATATATATATATATATATTTAAATAAGTACAATTAAAAGCTTTAAATTTTGTTTTTAAAATTTTTCACGGAAACTATTCTTGCAAGTCAATCTGCTGAGACTTCAAAAATCATCGTCTTCTCCGCTCGTTCTCACGGTATATCCTAATGTGTTACCTTAGAACACTCTTAGCGGTCAGTATAATTCAGACTTCTTTCGCGAATACGTGTTGTGCTTGTGATATATATATATAAAACAAAAAAAAATTGTTATGTGTCAATTAATGCGGTTATTGGATATTGAGGCAATTCGCGATGCGTTTACCTTAATGAGGATGGACATTTACGAGAATGACACTATGTTGTCATTTATTCAAAATGAGTGCAGAAAAGGGCAGTCCTTGAAAGATATTTCTGGAAAGCGGGGGTAAGTAATCAGAATATACAAACACACAAAAAAAAATAATATTAGTATAAAGTCTATTTAGTTAGTTTCAATGCTTAGCTGTATTATTATCATGTTTAAAAGTTAATTAGAATCAGCCTAACGTTAAATTGTATTCTATGGATGCTTTATTATATTACATATTTAATTACTTGTATTTTAAAAGAACTCTATTAGGGGTGGGTGTTCATTAACTACGTGAGGTTAAAATAGGGTGGAATTTTACAAAATTTCACTAAGTTAATGAACGTTTAATATATTTAATTGTAGAGAGTACATCGATTTAAATTCGTGGAGGTCAGCTCCGCGCAGGAGATGTACAAGGAATGCTTGGCCCTTGGATTTTGATTTGTATGAAAACTGTCCTAAACCCTTTTCCGAGGCCGTGTGGGTTCAGGAGTATAAATACAACTGGGAGTCAGACGAACACCTTGTGCAAGGATACTGGGCACCGCCCGACTTTCAACATCCTGCAACTTGCCTAAATGTATCACGAGAGTCTGTAGAAACACCCCTCGGGATCTTGAGGAGATCCTCAACGGTAAGGTAAGAATAACGATTATGTATACGAATATATATATATATATATATATTTAATAATTTATTTATTTCTAGTTATATTATGTGAAATAACTAAAATAATTTAAGATTTTTATGTTTGTGATTTATACAGAGAATTCAAAGACCTGCCCATAGTTCCCCCAAGAATGGGATACAGGGCTGTTTGGGGCGCCCTGGACTTGGTTTACCGTCAACTCTACAAGCCCGGGGAATGGGGAGTTTTGGGGATGCCCAACAAGAATGGAGCTTGGTAAGTGGGATATTTTAACTTGTAATATTTTTGATTGAATTGCGTCTTATTTATTCGTTCTCTAAAATCTTTTTCTTTTATTTTGTAGCGATGGAAAATTGACCTACAACCCTACTGGGTCAAATGCTGACGTCTATTTTCCTGAGGAGGACCAGTATTTTACCTTGTCTAATTAAATTTTATTACATTTAATTATCAATTGATATAAACAAAATATTTACTTACAACTATTAGAATCATAGTCTATTATATTAATTCTATTTTATATATTATGTTTGTAATTGTAATATTAATTATTTTATACAATATAATATTATTACATATTAAAATCAATTAATTTTTAATTATTACGTTATCATCATCACAACATATTATTATCAATAAATAAATTTATAATGTAGAATATTATTTAGTATGTTGATAGTTTTAATATGGATATATTTTTGTGTATTTTTATTATTATTAAAAACTTATTGATTGGAAAATTAATAAATGAATAAAATGTTGAAAATCAATTGCGTTTAATCATTTCTCTAAAAATCATATAGCCTAATTATAATTTTAATAAACTATACTTTTAACTAGAACCAATTATTTACATATAATGATAAAATATTATTTTATAAAGACACTATCGTTAAATTATTCGCTTCTAATTATACTAATTATAATTATACTGGTTATAAATGTAATAATTGTTTATTTCTGTTTAAAAAAAAAACATTCTTCTATATTAAAATTTTAACCTAAGAATTCACTAGAAACAATGCAAAACTTGCTATTTAAGTTTAAACTTTTAACACTATTCTTATTTTGTCACACAAAAAAAAATCATATTTATTGACTCTGATACATTAAATATATATATTTATATTTAATATTATATTTATTAAATATTACGTTATTTATAATGGATTGTTAATTACTATTTATTAACATTAATTATTTAATACAATTAAATTCTATCTATATGCTAATTAATTGCATTAATTCTAATTTTACTAAAATATTAGTATGGATTTATTTTAATATCTAATTTATTAAATTTATATAAAAAATTTTTACTAAAACCTAATTCCTTTTCTCAATAAACTACGTATTTCTTGAATATAAATATAGTATTATATTTATTAAATATTATTATACTATTTACAATAGTAATATTAGTTACAATTTATCTATTAAATGAATTTGATTTGCATTTATTAAAAAAAAAAATTATTTCTAGTCTAGCCGATATTCTAACCCGTATTCGATATTACAACTCAATTGACTTAATTTTATTTATCGAAATTGATGTGTTGATTTATTATAACTCTAAAATCCTTTATAAGAATCACAATTATTTTAACTTTCATTATAACTATTTTTCTTTTCCATTAATAAATATTTGTCTTAAAATAATTACTCAAAATTATGCAAATTCCTTTTAGTTTTCATTAATTATTGATAAAAATATATATATATATATATATATATATATATATATATATATATATATATATATATATATATATATATATATATATATATATATATATATAAATTTAATTTTACTTGGTTGAAATGATTAATTCAATTAAAAGAAAATATCAATTCAGTAGATTACCATTTATTTATTTCGTTGTATTAAGGTATTTCTTAAAAGTTATGCGGAAAGATTCTGATTACAAGGACGTGATGTATGTGACCTAGTAAACTCGCGTTTAAAGAGTCATAGTCTTTCTTTGTAATCCGATACACGAGGAGTGTTGACGAATGCTTTCTCGTGTTTAACAGAGGAAAGAAAGAAAACGATTAGACTTTTATGATCAAAAAGATTTTAATTAAAATGGTAAAAATTTTAAATAAAAGAAAGAAAAACTTTTATTTTTGAATTCCAAATAACGGATTTCTTTTTACCACCGCGGAATTTTCTGTGAAGAAAAGAGAGAAAAAAAATCTGATGCAAAATTGTATTACATTTCAGGAGAACAGAATTAGTAATCGCTTTCAAGTTCACTGTCGGTCTCTAAACTGCTCGAGTCATCAATCTGCTCGTGCGATTCAGAGTTCGTTTCGTAGTCATCAATTTCGATCTCGAGATTGCGAGAAATATACGGTATGGTGGACGCAGTACTGTCAATGTCGGAGTTGTCAAAATTGTCAACGTTGGCTATGTCATTACTATCATTGTTTGAGTCATGTTGTTGTTGTATCAATAATGCAAGTTGGTATTGTTCAGCTAGTATTGCGCGATTAATTCTTTGTTCTATCACTTGTTGAATAGGTATTACTCCCGGAGCAGGTAGAATTTCTTCAGGTTCTCTAGAGAACCCAAATTCAGGAACAATATCTTCAATAGGCTTTTGTAAACACATCGTGAGAATTTATTTATTTATTTTATTTTCATTTAGAAATATTTTATATCGGTTATGATCTTTCTTTTTATGAATTATTAAATTAATCTTGGAGACAAATTGGAGAAAATTTGAACCAATTAGTTTAAAATTGGCAATTTATTCGTTTGCATATATTTCCAAAAAAAAGGAATATAAAAAAAAGAAAACAATTCTTTTATTTCAATTTTATTTAAATGGCGATAATTTGTTTCATCGCCACCGCGGAATATTCCTTGTAACTTACATGGAATATGCAAGATAAAAAAAAAGAAAAGAATCAAGAACTTACTTATTCTCTTATAATAAGTGATTCCAAATTTTGATTCTGTGTTAAACAGAAAATACAAAAAAAAGAAATTTGTCCCCCCAAAGGTTAGAGGAAAATTATTAGTTGGGAATTAAAAGGTTTCAGGGCAAATTGTCTGAGAGATGTCAGAGTTTAAAATTTCTACCGTTTTTCCATTTACTGAAAATTTTCCTTCTGCTCATTTGTTAATAAAAGTGTAAATTGATTCGATTAGAATTATTATATTTGATTTTCTCTTAAATCTAATCTTTTTTTTTTTTTTTTTTTTTTTTAACGTTTTAGACAAATTGAGAAAAACAGAATAAAGGAAGAAAAGTGGAATAAAAGAATTGAAAAACTAAGGAAAGGGTAGGAAGATTTTTAAGACTTGTCTACCAATGGGCGAACCACGGAGCCTTGTCTTAAGTAGCCTCGTTAAGAGCTTGAAAATTAGGATTTAATATTAAATCTCAATTGTTACTTTTCTTGAGTTGACGACGAAATTAAATTGGAAACATATAGTATAGGAAAAAGAAAGAAAGAGAAAATTTTTTTTTTTTTTTTTTTTTTTTTTTATAAAAAAAATATTTTTACTTGAGAGAGAATAATTAGAGAATTTATTTAAGAATAAAATTAACGACGCCTTATTCTCTCCATATAGTAATATATTATTTTTAAATTATTTTGTGATAGAATTTTCGGAGACTTGTCTTCCAATGAGCGAATCACGGAGACTTGTCGTCACGGACTATCTATGACAAAATTAAAAATTAAAAATTAAATGTCTAGTTTGAATTTTTAATTTTTCGAAAAAAAAATATATTTCACTTGAGAAAGAATAATTAGAGTATTTACTTAAAATAGAAATAGACCAACACACTTATTCTCTCAACAAAAGGAATGTATTATTTAGGATTATTTTAAAAGTAGAGTTTCAGAGACTTGTCTTCCAGTGAGCGAATCACGGAGACTTGTCGTCACGGACTATCTACAATTAAGGTCCCAAAATTGAATTAAAATAATTTTTAATTCTATTTCAACATACCCATTGTTAGAAAGAAAGAGGTGATACAAAGAAATTTAAAAATTTAAAAAAAAAATAAGAAAGAAATTTATAAGTGAAAATTTCGAAATGAAATAGAAATCCCTTATAAAAAATTCCTCCCTTAAATTCTGAGGGGTAGCAACGTCAGGAAAAATCCCACCGCTGCCACCATCAGTTTGTTACGAACGAGAAAATATTTAAATAATTAATATAGTTGATTTAACTATAATGATTATTTTGGGCTTTTGAGATGGCCCTATTTTCCAGTTTGTTGGAGGAATTCAAACTGCCAGAGCGTGAGCTCTGTTTATCTTACTGGGATTCGTGTTTCCTAGTTGCCGAAAATTCAGAAATTAATTAAGGAGGGGGGGGGGGTAAGGAGAATATAAGAAATTAATAGAAAGAAAATTAAGAATAATAGTTATGATTTATTATTGGAAATTAAAAAAAGGATCCATCTACCTCTCAAACAATGCAAGAAAGGAGGATGGGGTAAAACTAGCCAGAACGATACAGTTACTTACCTGTTCTGGAACCTTAAGTCTACCGCCAGAATTCTGCCGACGGGCGAAGATTTCACAATACGCACTATTTATTGTCCTTGAGAAATTGTTATAAACAGAAAATATTTTGTAATTAAATATATTATAATTATTAATATATTTAAACACCGTGGGCTTTTGAGATGGCCCTATTTTCTTTAATCAATTTCTTAAGTTAATTCCTCAAACCATTAAAACAGGGCGGACGCGGCAACAAACGAAACCGGCCGGTCTTTTGACAAGAAAGGATTTTATTAAATTTATTTCCCCACTATTTTAATTTTTGAGACGACCCCGCGGATTTCGAGGTGTTTAAAATTTTATTTTACGTCCGGCCAAATTGCTTGTATAAGCATACAATTAATCTGGATCCTGTATACCGGACGGGAGACTGCCTGGGACTTTTAATCGTACGCGCTAATTCGCGAGTCGAAACCGTACTGTTCAATTTGGATGTCTAATTAATGTTCTTTTATAGTTTTACTTCCTTAAGAAATATGGATAGGTGGGGACAGGGCGTTGGACCTGTTGCCATGCCGAAATTGCTGAACTTGCAATTTTGCAGGTGTAAGTTCAATGCACTATGTTGAAATGCATTCCTTTTTCTTTATTCTTAGAAAAGAACATTTTTTTTAAAATATTCTTTTAATTTTGGAAACAAATATTAATTAATTTATTTATTTTTCAAATTAATCTCTGAAAATAGGATTAATGTAAGTTGGAAATAATGGACATTTCAAAATTAGAAATTCCATTCTATTTTGTAGCCCTTTAAAAGGTTGCTACAATCCAACATTAAATTATTTGTCCCAATAATTATCTTAATATTGCATAGAAACCTTCTGCAAGTGTGCAATTTATGGCGGGCAAGGTTTATAAGCTAGGTCGATGCAAGGAAGCAAAACAATTAAATAATAAAATAATAAGAATGAATAATAGTAA